AAGTCACTCGGCTGTCGATCTGGTACGCACGCCTCAGATGAGGAAAAGATCGCTGATCCTGTTCTATGTTTGGTACGACTTCTTGTCGTTTCACTGTCATTTTCAGCAGAGACAATGTCTCTGTAGCTTTTTACCACTCCTCTCTTTCTCCCCTTTGAAATCACAGGTTTGTGAATGTGCTGGTCTATTATGGTCTCTCACTGGGCGTGTCCAGGTTGGGGACAGACCTCTACCTGACCCAGTTCGTGTTCGGGCTGGTTGAGATCCCAGCTCGTTCTCTGGTCCTCGTCGTGCTGCCCTTTAGCCGCCGACTCACTCAGAGTGGCTTTCTGGCAATCGGAGGCCTCGCCTGTCTGCTCATGCTTGCAGTGCCTGCAGGTAAGATGGAAACTTGCTAAAATGCTTTTTCTTCCTCAAAAAGCTAATATTAAAATTTATTTCATCACTTGAATGATTTTTCTCCTTCCATCTGCAGATCATCCCAATCTCCTGAGTGGTCTCGCCATGGTAGGGAAGTTTGGCATAGCGGCGTCGTTTGCTGTGATCTATGTCTACACTGCTGAGATATTCCCCACGGTGCTTCGGTGAGACTTCTGTCCTAATCATCAAACGGTTATTTCAGTGACGCATTCCTGAAACAGTTTCTTTTCCCTTGCTGTGCCAAAAGGCAAACAGGAATAGGCGTATCCTGTATGTTTGCAAGGATAGGTGGTGTGCTGGCACCCATTATCAACATGCTGCATAACCACAGCCCGGCCACACCCCTCGCCATCTTCGGCATCTCTCCGCTTCTGGGAGCTGTCCTTGCCCTGGCCCTTCCTGAAACTGCCAACAGACCTCTTCCAGACACAGTGGAGGATGCAGAGAACTGGGATGTTAGGTAATTGTTTAAAAACCTGCTTGCTTCTGAGCAAAATACAAAAGAAAGGATGAAAGTAAAAACGCAGGTTAGCAAACTTTAACACACAGTCTTCAATTTGAACTCCAAAGCACATGAAACCTCTACACTTATGAGTGTCTACTTTTTGTTATTCCTCTCTCGCAGGACACCTCCAACCGAGGAAAACCCAGAGATGTGTGAAGATGATAGCCAATCAGGACGCAGCACAGAGAAGCTGGAGTTATGCAATCTGGCAAGCCACACCTAATGCACAGCCTCAGCTTTGATGCCAGAAATACTACTTTTCACAAAACCCTCTATGCAATTACACGTCAGGTGTTTGATTCTGAGCAGAACATATTTCAAATGGAAAAAAAGCAGCACAGAAATATCTGTGTTTTACAATCTTTTAAATCCATCAGAGATTTACACCTTTTACTTGAGGTTTGAATGTGGCTAGGCAGAATAATAGCTCCTATTAGGATTTTGCACATGTGTATATATTCATCCATGCATGAGAGCACTCATACATCACTTCCCTGCCACCAGAACGTCTGCACTGCCTTTTGGGTGAAAACAATCAGCGTAAAAGTGCATTACTGTAGGGTCTTTACATCAATATAAAGCTGAGTTGGATTGTTCTGTAAGTATGTCATTTAAGTAAAATTTAAAGAGTAAACAGTCACATTTGTAAAATCTGCCAGTTTAATAATAACTCTGTAGCAACAATGAAAACGCAGCAAAAATTAATTTAATCTTCTCCTGTATGTAAGTCGGCTAACAGTTAGCTTGTCAGACATGGCTACAGCAAGCTAAAGCGACTTCCTCTCTCCTTCTGCGACACTCGTTAACTCCAGAAACTTCTTGTAGAACCACATGTATTAACTTGAAGTAATAGTTCACTGTATGACTTTCTCAGTCTACCACGTTATCGTGGAGGAATTCTGGGACATCTTCCTTACAGCGTTGTTTCAGTTCATTGAGGTTTGCAGGCATTTGTTTATACACAGCTCTGTTAAGCACCTGCAACAGCATTTTAATCAAATTGAAGTCTTGACTTCGACGGGACCATTGTAACGCCTGGATTCTTTTCAGCCGTTCTGTTCCTGCTGTGCTGTTACGTGACCATATTTGGGTCAAACGTTAGCTGACGGACAGATAGTCACACGTTTGACTTTAGATCACTTGTGTGTACGGAGGAGTTCATGGTCGACTCAGTCACTGAAAGATGCTTAGGTCACATGGCCAACAGGAAGCCTGAATCATCACCCCTCCACCACCGTGCTTCACAGCTGATATGAGCTGTAAGTGCTGATATGCTGAGTTTGGTTTTAGCCAAAAGATATTCTTCAGAAGTGTTGTGGTTTGTTCAGATGTTACTGTTCAAACCTAAGCATTGGTGCCATGTTCATTTTAGAGAGGAGATGTTCTCCTGGTAGGTCCTCACAAGCAAGCGACTTTTTCTGTCTTTTTTTAATTGTACTGTCATGAACTTTAACATTTAACATTCTAACTGAAGTGTGTAGACTCTGAGATGTAGCTCACGTAGCTGTTTTTTGCTGTTACTCTGAGCATTTGGTGGTCTGACTTTGGGGTGTCCATTCCTCTGAAGATTCGGTAATGTGTTAACACACACCTGAATGCACCAGACCATCAAACGTCTGCTTTTTTAGAAGTGGTCACGCTTGTTGTTAGTCAGTTAAATAAACTGTGTTCTATTATCCTCTTAATTGCTTTGGAAGCATTAAATGTGTACTTGGGTCTTCACAGGCAGCATGAAGTCCAGTGAAAACTTTCTGTTTCACGTGACTGTAACGGTGCTGATTGTTGATCTGTGTGTGCTGCGTGCTATAAATTCGCAAAGATCTCCGGACTGTGTTTCGCACCACTTAAAATTAGGTATTGTTTTCACTCAAGATGGGTGTGCGGTTGCTGTTCAGGGCAAAATCCCTGGACGCGCTGCTCTTGTGATTGGGGGTGCCGAACGCACAACTAAACGTTGTTTAAAGACTGGAGAAGACTAGCAGACTGCCAAATGCAACGCACCTATTCTCCAAACGTTATTACTGCATTTTAAACATTTTGTTCAAAGAAACATGCTTGATATTTTTGTATGAAAGTGTTTTTGTTTTGGGCATATGTTGGTTGTAGCACAAATTTATATTGCAAGCAACTGCCTCATCTTCGTCTCAAGCCAAGAAAAAAGAGACTAGTCAAGTGAGACTGCATGCACTAGTGAAGCCTTTTAGTTAGACTGCTGTATTTAATAGATTTGGATGAAAAAAAAGAGATTTGACTGTTATCAGCATGTGGAAGAATATTTGATTTCAGCAGTGTTGTTGTTGTTGTTGTTTTTAGATTTGTTCTCCTTTTATTATTGTCCAATACAAATGGACTGCAGCATGTATCAATGATAACACTCTATGAGTCTTCACAAGCAATCAAGGGCTGTTATTGTTATGAATTATAGAAGAAATTCGATTCATGTATCGGATGCACTTGAATGTGCAATATGATGCCATACAGTGCTGTGAAGTATCTGTGCCCCTTCTTGATTTTATTTTTACACATTTAATGAAATCATCATTTAAAAACTGCGTTTTGCGTTTACTCTGGTTACTCTGCTTAATGATCTGAAACATTGTGACAGATGAGAAAAAAGAAAAGAGGGACTCAGGAAGCGGGCAAATACTTTCACACAACACCGTATGTTTGTGCTGTTATTCAGGCACAAGCATTTACATGTCCAACTGTAAAATTGTAAATAGAAATAAAATGCAATGATTTGCAAACCTCATAAACCCACATTTGATTCACAATAGAATATGGAAACAATATGGAACATTTAAACTGAGAAAAAAAATGATTCTAGCTGCTTATCAGTCCTGAGTCTTTATATCTTGTTCTCTTCATGATGTGCCAATTGCTTTCTGTTGGTGGAAGGTCTGGACTGCAGGAAAAATTCCAAGAAAAAAATGGAAAAACCCCAACATGTTTTACATTAAAGTGGCAAATTAATGAGAAAAATGGCAAATTTGCCAGGAATAATACAAAAAAAACCTTTTTCTTAGATGACCTAATTTAATTCTACTTTTCAATTGGACTTTGCAATAAAGAAATCCTTGTGGTTTAAGTTCAGAATCACCACATTTTCAAAAGCGTCTGAGTTTCAAAGAGTCGTTGTCGTGAGCTGCTATTCATGAGAAAACACACTGATTTGGATGAGGTAACAGCCTGTGTGTGAAGTACTACAGCACAGTTGATATCTTGAGGACTTGTGGTACATCAGGACGCAATCCAACAGATTATTAAAGCATTCAATCCTCATGGTTTGAAGGATTGAAACCATGAGAGGCGTCTTAGGCACTGTAGGCTCAATGTTCTCTCAGATTTGCCACTTTAATGTCAAAAATCTTGAGTTTTTTCTCAAAATTTTATACCCACTCTGCTTTTTTTTTTTAAATTTTGGGCCCTCATATGTATGTATATGCCATTCAGCACTGATGGTGCCTTTTCAGATGTGTAATTGCACAGCCCCTGATGCACTCACACACCGTGAAAGACACAGGATTTATCCGGGAGGACATGACGCTCATGTTTTCCAAAATGAATTTCACATTTCTGACCAGAGAAGTTTTCCAATTTCTCCGGCATCATTTCTTTATCATGTTCCTGTATGACTTAATATTTTTGTGACCTTCCATCAATTAAAAAAAAAAAAGAAAATAGTAAAGTCAATTGAAACACTTGATATTATTTCTGTTCCATTATGAAAACAATTTGTTGTAAGATTTTTTGTAGATTTAAAAAAACAAACTAAATTCCTTTTGCAAAGAAATTAAAGAAACCAATTGTATAAATGTCGATATGCATGATGTGAGAGTGCACGCCTTAATGCTGGCCACAGCATGTGATGTTAGATGTCATTATAAATGCAACTTCTTTTTATAGCAGGAATAATTTGCCTGTAAAGGACGAGTGGAAATTTGTGACTTATCTGAAATAAGGGCATTGAGCCAGTGTGCCTTGAGCAGTAAAATTTTAATGACTGAGTGAACTTGTTCTGTGTGTGTTTGTGTGTCATCAAGTAGAAACAGACAAAGCAACCAGAGTTAATAACTTCCTGGGACCAGCAAATTTATTTAAATTTGTTTTCAATAAAAATTCTGCCTTCCAGCAGCAATTAAAAAACTAACACCACAGAGACAAAATAGATTATCGGGACGTAACACTTTTTACTTCACAATGATCCAGTTTGTCTTGTTATCAATGCAACACACTGTAGTGCTGTCTCCTCCCAATCAGGCTGCCATGTTTAGTTCAGTCCACGATAAGTTCTTAGGCTTTTTTCCCATAAAGCTGGCCTAACACACACATCAAGATTAAGTGTAATTCAGCAGTCATGAAGTGGCATCAACAGCAACATAAAGGCTTTAAAAGAAGACAGTCTATGCCAGTGTAACATATGTAGCATCAGTGGCAACACCACAGTTGTTATCCTTCATAGACATGAGGATGTAGCCATCATTGCCCCAGTATGTGGACCAAGAGTTCTTGATGAGCCAGTATGGCTCTCCATTCAGGGTGCCATATCCCACTGCAAGCACAGCATGGTCCAGATCATCCACAGTGTTCCCTGAAAAACAGAACCAGCGAGTTACGTTGTTGTGAGCGTGAAGGATAGTATCTAACGCAATCACTGTGGAAAGAAAAAACACTCACCACAAGCAGGTTCGTAGTAGACGCCGTTACTGTAGAAAACAAACGAGCGATGTGACGCGTCGATACTCACGGCAACGGGGCCGTTTTTAAAGAGCGCCAGCTTGAGGGCCAGTTGATCGCCAGACGTGACGTTCGTGTAGCTCTGGATACGTGCAGCGAGCTCGGACGAGTTCGTGTGGCAAAATCCGTTCTACTCGGAGAGAAAAAAATATTTTTAAAAACTTTCTCACAGCTTCTCGAAATCCTCTTTTGTGTTGAAATCCACTGTTAATAAGCAGGCAGTTATTCTGCTGGCTTTTTAAATATAAATTTGTAGGTTTTGCTTTAACATTTAGGGAGGAATGTATTGAAATGAATCATACGCATGTGATTTACTGGGGTTTGTGGAGGGCAAATTAATGGAAAAACAATCCATTATTTAACGCAGAAAGAAAGTATGTGATGTTTTGCTCCTGATGATTCTATGATAGCTGCAAGGAATGTTATTTTAATTGGAATACCAGAGGGGAGGGATTATTGGAACAAAATGTGAATCTTTGTTTGGGTTCTGAATATTTCTGGACCTTAAAATTGCTGTTTTATTACAAAGGAAAACTTAACAAGGAGCACTGGAGAGAGTGGTAGAATAGCTGCCCAGTAAAGGCCATTTATACACACCAGCAGTGGTCATTTCAACTGGCTTTCATCCATCTCTGGCTTTTTGTGACCTAGCACATGTGGGGCAGCTGGGTTAAAGACATGAACAGACATCACATAGTTTATTTTTAAATACATGTATAATATTTAATACTACTCTTAAACAGCAGATCTATGTCTGCTTAGTTAGAGCATGCTAGATTTATGACTGAATTTTGCAAAATACTGTTCAGGTGTCGCTACTTTTGGGTGACACCAGAGCAATTTGGGATAATCACAGGTCACTGGAAGTCAGTCTCTTCCTTTGATGTTAATAAATACACAGTTATACACAGTGGGGCAAACTGACAGTAACTTTCTGAATGCTTTAAGTACTTAAGAGACACATGAAACAGTCTCTGGTCAAAAGCTTGTTTAACTGTAAGACAGGCTTCCTGAGCCTGAAATCAAACATGCCGTTAATACCACAATGATAAGATTTGTAGAATTACACTATTAACGTCGCTCTTTTAAGGGGCGATCGTGGCTCAAGAGTTGGGAGTTCGTCTTGTAATCGGAAGGTTGCCGGTTCGAGCCCCGGCTCGGACGGTCTCGGTCGTTGTGTCCTTGGGCAAGACACTTCACCCGTTGCCTACTGGTGGTGGTCAGAGGGCCCGGTGGCGCCAGTGTCCGGCAGCCTCGCCTCTGTCAGTGCGCCCCAGGGTGGCTGTGGCTACAATGTAGCTTGCCATCACCAGTGTGTGAATGTGTGTGTGGATGACTGGTTGTGCTTTGGGGTCCTTAGGGACGAGTAAAGCGCTATACAAATAAAGGCCATTTAAATTTTTGATTTGTTGTTGTGAAATCATCTCACCATCCCCATGTAGGCGCCATATGTTTCCATTGTGGCGATGCCTCCGTGCTTCATGATCCACTCGTACGCTCTCCACTCCTCCCCGCCATCGCAGCCGTTATTACCGAAACCCCAGGAGCAGTCGATCAGCATCTGCTGAGACAGAACCTGCAGAGAGCCCGTCTGAAAGACACGAGCAAAAGTATGATTACACTCGGCATTACATCAGCAGCCTGCGCTTACTCTGCACTAATCATGAATCAAACTCTAATAAAATGCAGACATTTTAATCCACTGATCCACTTTATTGACATTTGATTATATGAAACACAAACAAGACAGCTAAACATTTATAATCGGCTTTCATTCCTACACCATTTTTACTCCAGCTGCAATCTACAGGTTTCTAGGCAGATGCTGTGAGATCACGAAGAACTAAATTCAAAGCGTGCCCCCCACTGAGTGGCTCTGTTTATGAACCTGCCCATGGGGGTCACTGCATCGCTCAGGTTCAAAGACGACCTGCTGCAGCCTCACAGCAGTACTTCCTCCTAGCCAAAACAAACTGTTCCTGCAATTATTGCAAAGCAATTAGCAGTTCAAGCTGCTTTACCTCAGTGAGGAATGTTAAGATTATTGCACGGATGAATCCCTTACATTTATATATTTATACATCGTTAAACAAGAAGTCGCTACAGAGACCAAAACCAGACCTTAAAAACATGTTTTGGTGTAAAGTTGGACATTTTTACATGGAAGTCCATCACGACCACTGACAGTGTGAAACAAGGATGCAACTACCATAAAGTTTTCTACTGCATTGTGAAATCTCATTGCAACATCATCTCGGTGCTTTGAACCACATGTGACAGCGAGGGGTAATCTGACCATGAAACCGCGCTGATGCCAAAGAGCATGTCCTGGATAATCCTCCTTTCTGACACTTCAAATGACTAAAATTTACAAAAGGGATAAAGAATTATGGGCTCTTCTCCTACAGACTTTTATAAGGCAGGAGTATTTTTAAAATCACAGATATCACCTCCCCGGTGGCTTTAATAAACTTGCAGTTGCTTCACTTTTCAGACCCAGAAGCTCTATCGATCTTTTATACTTGAGTGAATCGCCTTTGGAGCCAGTCTCAAGGGGCTCACTTCCACATTCACTTTACTTTTCGACCCTGGATTTCGGTGTTCGTTATGTACTTTGCATTTTCTGATCAGTAATTTAAAACTAGATGAGTAAATAAATACTAAGATCAGATTTTACTGATACTCAATGGGAAATTTCCAAGCGCAGCACCTTAAGTTTACTGCAATGCAAAAACATTTTACTTCAGTTAATGTTTAAATGTTGTTACTGCACTGCGATGAAGCAGGAGCTTTAATGTAAGTATTATCCCTGAGACTTCCTCCATCACTGGACCTCAGCCTAGGAGTTACAGAGCTACAGGCCAGGGGCAAGACACATAATTAAGAGTCTCCTATGTGAGGGAGAGACACAGAATTCGGTCACTTCAATGGGGTGCCGTCAAGTCCCAATAAACTGATCCTATGTTTGGATCAAGTTGCTAGGCAACATGGGATAAGGAATGCCTTTGAGCTCAGCTTTCTACAGGATGGAGGCAGCCCAAAGCTGACGTCCCCTCAGACTCATTCATTCACACAGACACACACACTGTAAAGCCCGTCCAACACGACTGAAGTTACACAATGAATCTTCCTGTGGATCTATCCCCAAAAGGAGGGCTGCACTTCGGAGAGAAGGATGTTTGTTTGTTTTGTTTATTTTTTAAAAAAGGTCAGTTGACTCAAACAGCAGCCCTATGCTAAATAAATGTGACAGACTGTCATATCTATCTAATTTACAAATGGTTATTTTTAATTTTGCAAATAATTCTGCTGGTTTTGTCACAAAGAATCTATATCAGTCATGCACCTTGAATAATTTGCATCTTTGTATTTTATTCATTTCACTGAGCGTATTCTTCTGCCTGCACGAGCCACTTCAATACAAGGAGTATTAAAATAAAACCTAATTTCTCCCTAAAACATCAGAAAGATAGATATAGATTTATACCAAACGTAAGTGCACTGGAAATAAACCCAAACAAGAACAGATGAAGCATCAAGCTGAGCATCTGCGGCTTCAAAGAGAATAGGGAAGGAGCCCCATTATTCGAAGACACTGGAATGGGGCCAAGGACTGTGCAGCAAGCTGCCTCCTATCCTTTTTACCTTTAAGAAGAGAGCACCCTCTACTGCTCCAGTGGTGGCAAAGCTCCAGCAGGAGCCACAGATGGCCTGGTCCTTTACTGGGGTCACGGCGCCTGGGAGGCCAGAGTTAAGGTGAAAAAACAAACCTTCCTCACAGATGCATCTTTGGTGAATAATTAAAGCTTATACACACCATAAAGCCTCCAGTCGAGTGACTCGGGAAGATTGACTCTTTTGTAAGCTTTGAAGGGGAAGGGGAGCCCTCTGTTTGGGGTCTTTCCCCTTTTTCTTCCCCTCATGGTTGCCAGCTCAGACATGGTGCGATCCGACAGAGAGTTCAGAGCCAGAGAGAAAGACATGCCCGCTCTGTTCTTAGAGTGAATGTACCTAGAAAAACGGAACCAGTCAGACACACCGCTGAAAAACTACTACTAAAGCTGTAGCCTCACAATTATTATTAAAGTATTAAATGTTGCGCTCACCGTAGGTTAAGAACAAAAGCATGCTCCCTCTTCTCGTGCTCCCTTTCATCGTTGTACTGCCGCTGGAACTTGTCCTTGAAATGGCTGAACATGCGCTGTGACTGGCCTGACGCTGAGGTGTGGATGAGATCTTTCATTGGATTGGCCAACATATGGTGCTCCACTCCAGGACCAGGAAACCCACCACAACTCATGCCTGTATAGAAACACAACAAGAAGGAGTTTTTGTTTTTCTTTTGTCCTCTGAGTCTTCCAAAAGGTCGAGCAGGTATATATTTACACAAACCTTCAGGCAGCAGGAAGACTTTGGGGTTCACGTCAGTGCTGAACTCCTTGTATTCCACCAAGTACTTGTCGTAATGGGACCCCAGCAGAGTGTTGTATCCCATCATCTCATAGTGAATGGGAATGGAGGTGTCTTTTCCTCCATCTGCACCTCGCTCTGAATGTGTCACCCACAGTGTGTACGTGTTCTTCTTGTAACCCACAGTGGTCACATTCTGCCAGACTTCACACAGGGAACCTCTGTAGTACTCCACCCTCAGGAACTAAGGAGGGAAATGAACAACTTGACTTGTCAAAATAAAAGATAAAAACATTCAATGAAATATGTGACTACGATATAAATACTCACAAATGGTGACGGTTTGTTTTCCACTAAGACATACTCCTCATGAAAATGTAATTTACAAAATGAACATGACACTGTAATAAAGATCTTATGACTTATGAGCCCACAAACTAATCAGAAAAGGTTTACTGAGGTAAGCAGTTGAGTCATTTACCTGTTTTCTTTTGCGGTTTTGCTGACACATCACCACTGACCGTGTGATGTCAACTTGTTAACCATTAATACCATGATTGTGTGACAATCATGGTGACAACATAGGATCAAGTGAATGCGTCTATAGTGACACGGGTCTAGAGAGTGACCATCTGACAACCCTCGAACGTGAGGAGGAAAATGAGTACTCCAAGACCAGCGGTGAATGATTGCTGGAGGCTGATGGCAGTTGCTGCAAAAATGACTGCTATAACCAAAGTCACACAGGCCTACAGACAGGTTAATGGTTTCCTGGAAACAACCTGTCACTAAAGAAATATTAGTATTCCCCCAATGTTAGTAATACTGGTAATGGTAGCATATTCCCATTTACTGGTCTGACTGTAAGTGAAAGGCTTATCTACAAACACTGGCAATCTACTAGAAACACTGCCAACTGGTTGGGGAATAGAAGTTTCCCTAGCAACCGGTGGTTGCGTCATGTCCAATGTCGAGGTCAACTCTTAACCGATGTGTGCGTGACCTCAGTACACTCTGACTTCTTCTTGCAGTAGGGTAACTACCCCCTTCTGGCCATTAGAATGATAGTATACAGCTTTAAGACTTTTCTGCTTTGGCTTCTGTTTTAACAACCGGAGACTGTTCCATATATACACTTTTACTCATGAAGATCAAACTGAAAAGTGGAATAAAAAGAAATAAAACACACACCTGGAAGCCCTGCACATCGGGGAGCGCAGCCTGCGGTGTGACTGCTTCGTCCTTTGTTCCGTTAATCTGGAAGCACTTCATCACATTTAGCTCCTCTTCAGTGGTCTCAGGCGAGATCTTATAGGCAGTGCCATACTGCTGCTCTGAAGCTAACTGGTAAGTCAAAACCTGGCCTGTTGGTGATAAAGAGTGTTAAAATGAGACATTATTGACTTCTCTAATGTTAATAGTACATTTATTTTGTTAATAGCTCAAGATTTCTGAATGAATATGCTATGTGTGGCTCAGACAAAACCTTATTAGCTATAGTCAGGGCTTTTTGGCGTATACACCTGTCAGTAGAAACGCATTATATCAGGATTCAATTTTATTATTATTATTTCATTACTACTTTGAATGTGTTCATTCTTCCTTTTTCCTAACAGACTACAGTTATGTACAAGTCAAGATGATGATTTGTCTGATGGAAGAAAAACTAAATAAAGAGGAGTATTCGTGGGTAAGTTTGCACCAGCCGTCATCAGCACTGTAAGCATATAAAAACACAATTTTAGTACAAAGTCACATGCAACACAAGTCATCAGATTATGTTCATCACGCGTGCTTACTCTGTCTTTTTTCACTTCTTTTTTTTGCGATAATGTTACAGTCTGGTATCGTTTCTCTTACACAACAGGCACTCAATTTCAAATTACTGATTAGCCAAGCAGGGGAATACAGAATCTGCTTCAGGAGAATCAGCTGAAGGGGGTTTCTCACCGTGGTAGTAGTCTATCCGGCTTGACTTTGCTGTTAGGTCTAACCAGGCCTCAAATGGTTCCTCAATTTCAGCATAGGGCAGAGAGATGATTCCTGAAATGTAAATACTCAATGAAACATAACTTCCAACAAGGCCCAAAACATACTGTGTAACCCTCTGTTAGTTCACAGCTTACCTTTGACATGATAGCTCTTTCCAAAATCAGGAAGGCTATGTACTGCCTTTGCCTCTGTACCTGACAATGAAGCAGAGGTGACAACACATGTTAGTAATATAACTACAGAGCTGTGTGCAACAAGCAGCAAATAGCAAAGCAAGAAATACTGACAGCTATCCCTGGATATTTGCTATAACTGGTTACATGGACGCTACAAACACTGGTCATTTACAGACGCCTTGTTAACTTCTCACACACGGAGCAGAGGATAAAACAGACGTTTGTAGCCATTTTGGCAATATAAGTTATAAAATTAGATAAACTTCTCATACCCCAACCTTCCTTTTTTAAGTTTTAAAGCCCACTTTATCATAAAAGGAACAGGTTAAGCTTTGGTAAATAATAAAGTTAGTTGTGTGCCGAATTAAAGAGTGGTTAGTGGAGCTCGTAAATTAGCACTTCTCTCAAGCTAAAACAGGAAGACTTTAATGTGAAAGTTAAAAATTATCGTATGTATTCCTGCTCTACTGTATAGCTACTTACACACAAAGATAGCCTCTTATTTAGCAAACTGAATGCTAATGTACGTTTATTAACATGTTTATTTGCACGTAACGGCTGCGTAACAAGACCCCCGAGTGCTAGCTACCTCCACAGCATGTAACGCTGGCTGACTGTAAACAGCTAACCTAAAAAAACAAATATGAAATGTATTTCCTTACCAGCGACATCGCACAAAAAAATAGCTGCAATGTACCAAAGCTGCATTTTTTTTCTTCTGTATTCTCAGAGTGACAATGAGAACAGCTGGCAGACTAAAGCCAAACCTCACAGAAACACATTGCTCTGCGGACGTTCTTTAACCCCCAAAACAATGATTAAATCATGGAGAATGGTGCCTGCCCGGTCCACCAATCACATCGCGCCGAGGAAGTGTCTCCTCCAATCACAGTTTTATTTGCACGCACATCATGTGAAGCATGTCATATGACTGTAGTTAACTAGATAATCCGGTTGTTCAGTGATGACGCGACGAATCCTACTTCCGGGTCTAAAGTAGTCTGCGTTTAATATGGCTTTTGTGTTGTTAACATGTTTAATGTTATGTATTTTTCTTCTATTTGATCTCAAAAAGCTCCTAAAACAGTCAGTGATCACTGTTGAGCTCCCTCGGCTTTTATTACCGCTAATCATTTATTTAAGCTCAGTTTTTAAAACCTTACGATGTAACTACAGCCCAGCCCATGCAGCAGTATATGAATGACTAACCTCGTATTGTGGATGGATTATCTCAGTTGTTCTCCTGGCTGAAGTTTGGTCCTTTTACAGCATCCTGCCATGCGATTACATTTGTTCCTGACCACCGAGAACACTCACGTTAACTTTTATCGAGTGGAAAAAAAGTTAGCTTGTTTATATTATGCTAACATAGCTGTGTCGCTAGCGGTCACGTAGCACATCATTATATACCAGCTAGCCCAACTTCAGTAACCCTACAAACGTCACTGCTGTTTAGTTTTCTGTCTTCATTTATGCTGGAAGTGATAGCAGAGCTGTACGTTTTAATTTGTTTCCAAAACCCCGCAGTCAGGACATGCTATATTGTATTTAGATAGAAGCTAGCGAGCTAACTCCCTGCTAACTTCTAACTCCGTTAAATGTCATAAATTCCGTTTTCATGGATGCCTGGATGTTAAACTCAATTGTTACACCTGGTAGAGCAGAACGCTGATCATTTTATTAAAGATGAAATACTTTAGACAGTTTTTCAACTCTCAGTAATGCCATAGTGATCGTTTGATATATGGACCTGCAGCGGAGTTTAGACCCAGACACGGCTAGTGACGTCAGACTGAACAACCGGATAGGAAAACAGCGGAAAGGGCAGTGTTTGTGTGAACTACCACTGCGTGTCACGAAGCCGAGGCTTCCCCATTTTTGTTTGGAGCTCTTAAAATCCTTAAATCAATCAGACGAAAATACTTTGATAAGATAACTTAATTGTGTGCTAATTGTATGTTAAATGACATTTACAACAGGATTAGTCAGAGTTCCCTCTTGGGTTTTGTTTGTTATAGAGAAGGGTTGCTTTTTTAAAAGCTATTCTTTATATACAATCCTGTGCAAAAGTGTCAAGTCGCCCCATTTTGATTCCCATTTTGATCCAGTGATGTCGAGAATAGTCTTTCAAAGTTTCTGAAGGGTTTTTAAAGTTTTCTTTGGACAATAACTGCTTTTTTATTCAGTCCAATCCTCATACCTGACCATTTCCAGAAGTTTTTAAAACAATTTTTATTATTCATTTTTATTTATTTATTTATTTTTAGAATGGAATAGATAGAATAGAATAGCCCTTTATTGTCATTGTACGTGTAAAATGAAGTTCAATTCAATAAAACTTTATTGATCCTGAAGGTTGACCCCAAAGGAAATGGGGTTAAGGCTGCCGACCTTTGCCAGCGCCGACTTACCCTTCTGACCATACATACATTACACAAACACCACATGGGGAAGACAGGTCAGAGAGGTATAACAATGGAAAATGCACCACATGAGGAAAGATAAGGAGAAAAAAAATAACTCCCCCCAGACTGAGCTCCAACAGGGAGATCGGTTTGAGAACAGAAAAAAAAAAGTTGTGGGTGCTCCACACCAACGGTGCCAGAATAAAATATAAAGAGTAGAAAGCAGGAAAAAAATAGCAAAAGAGGACAAATATATACAATACAGAGGAATATATTCGGGAATAAGAGAAAGACAGACATTGGAGAACAAAATAGCTTCAAATAGTGGCCTGAGTGATGAGGGTCACACAGACCATGGCTCAGATTCATGAGGAGGGTGTTTGTTAACAGTCTGAATGGCCCAGGGGAAGAAACTGTTACTGGGTCTGGAGGTGTGGGACCTGATTGACCTGAGGCGCTGACCAGAGAAGCGGGTAAACAGATGGTAAGCTGTGTAAGGGCTTACCTATGATTTTCCTAGTTTTCAGAATCAGAATACTTTATTGATCCCTGGGGGAAATTATTTTTTGTTACAGTGCTCCATTTTAAACCAACATTAAGACAAGACAGACAATACGCTAACTAAGAATAGTACAATATATACATATATATACATACATACATACATAAGTCACTTATAAATAAATATTTGGAAAAGAAACATGTGTAGTTGTAGCAGCAAACAGTGTGTTAAGTGGATGCGTTGTACAGGGAGATGGCCACAGGCAGGAATGATTTCCTGTGTCGTTCAGTGGTGCTTTTCGGTAATCTCAGTCTCTCACTGAACGAGCTCCTGTGACTGACCAACATGTCATGGAGTGGGTGGGAGGTGTTATCCAACATTGTCTTTATCTTGGACAGCATCCGCCTCTCCGACACCACCTTGAGGGAGTCCAGCTCCATCCCCACAACATTGCTGGCCTTACGGATCAGTTTATTAAGTCTGTTGGCATCTGCGACCCTCAGCCTGCTCCCCCAGCATGCAACAGCATAGAGGATCGCACTGGCCACCACAGACTCATAGAAAATCCTCAGCATTTTCTGGCAGATTTCCTGAGACAGGAGGATCTGGCAATGGTCTCCAGGGTGTCAGAGGGCAACCAATAATTTTTTTGGGTGGTGTTGATTACCCTCTGTACAGCCGTCCTGTTGTCAGTAGTGGACTCTGTCTATCAAACACCCAGTGTGGAGGAGATGCTCTCCACAGAGGAGCAGTGAAGGCCAGCAGCAGCTTCTGGTCCACGTAATTCTTCCTCAGGACACGGAGGAAGTGCAGCCGCTGCTGGGCCTTTACCAGGGCGTTGGTGTTGTGGGTCCAGGTGAGATCAGGGGAGATGTGGGTGCCCAGAAACCTGAAGGTGGAGATAGATTCAACCCATTCCCCATTTATAATTAGAGGGGAGTGGACCTGTCTGTGTCTTTCCATTATGAGTTCTTTTGTTTTAAGGATGTTCAGCTTTAGGTTGTTTTCGGAGCACCAGCGGGAAAAGTTCTCTACCTCCGCCCTGTACGCTGTCTTATCTCCATCAGAGATGAGTTTAACCACGTTGGTGTAATTAGCATACTTGACAATGACGAGAGTTGGCTTGGTTGGTGTGCAGTTATAGGTGTACGGGGCGTGGGATCTGGTGCTGGATGACAGTCGAGGAGAGAGGTTGGGGGTTGGACTGATTGAGGCTGGTTTGTGAGGAAATCTTTGATCCAGGAGCAGGTAATAGGTGGTCCAGTTTGGTGGTGAGGATGTCTAGTATTATGGTGTTGGTGGTAAACACTGAGCTGTAGTCCACGAAGAGCATCGTCAAGTAACTCTTCCTGTTCTGCAGATCATTTAGTGCTCTGTGAAAGGTGATGGTGTTAACAAAGAACTTATTTTAAATGGCATCTTTAAGCACTTTGTTTCTAATAGCCTGTTACAAAAAGACAGAATTTGTTCCCATTTCTTTTGTTGAATGTTTGAAAAATGTCAAAGAAAATGCAGTTTGACAAGCATGAAAAACTATTTTTACAACAACAATTTTATTCCAAAACAGCTATTGTCTGAGAACCTGGCATACTCAGCATGGTGTGCAGTGTGTCCTTAAAAAAGTAGCGGACAAAGGAAGTGACAGGCCTAAAAAACTGCTGTAAAACACCCAAAAGAAGTGAAAATAAATAACCAATCGAGTAAGAGTTTTAATTCTCTCACTCTGTCTGTTAGAGACACGTTTTAATGGTTGCAGAGTTGTTACAAAAGAAGAAGATGTGGTTTTGTGGGTGAGTCTGCATGCAAAAAGATTCATCTTGCTGATTTTCTTCTTGATTGGAAAGTGTAGAGCTGTGAAGGTGTGTGTGTGTGTGTTTTGTCTGTCTGTGGGTGTTTGAGTATGTTTGTGAGTGTTATGCTGGTGGAGTTTCAAAAGTGATAGTTGTTATTAACTACATGCTGAATGTTTTCCATTTATGTTCCAGTGCATTTAAAAAAAACACCAACGTGTGCACAGTGTGACATTTTAAAGAAGAAGAAAAACCTGACTCTTAGTGACAATGTCTTGTACGTACATTGTAGTTACAATATTTATAATTTCATTGTTAAAAGAAAGCATGGCCCCTGTCAGTTCTGAGGTTTTACGTCCCAGGATAACAACATTTTGATCCTTAGCAGGTCTCAAAATTAGACAAACCAAATGTCAGGTGAGCTACAACAACAGTCTTCTCATGAGTGGAAATTCTCCCCAATGCTCAGTTGAATTGTAAAACAAAAAAATCCAAGGGCTGCATCTCAGACTCTACAGGCCTTGGTTAGTATGTTATATGTTAAAGTTCATCACAGTACAAGTAGGAAAAGTCTGAACTAGTATGGCTGGTTTGGAAGGACTGCAGGGTGACAGCCGCTTCTCTCGAAAGAGAACCTGGCAGCACAGCTTAGGTTTGTACCTGAATAAGTTACAAGACTTCTGGAACAATGTCCTTTGGACAGACAAGACCAAAGTGGAGCTGTTCGATCATAATGCACAGCACCACGTTTGGAGAAAACAGAACACAGCATATCAGCACAAACACCTCAAACACTGTTGCTTGGTGGTGGAGGGGTGATGATTTGGACTTCTTTTGCAACCATGGGGGATATTGCAGTCATTGAATTGGCCATTAACTCAGTATAGCAAAGTATTCTAGAGTCAAATGTAAGGTCATCTGTCTGAAAACTAAGTATTGGCTGAAACACAATCAGGCAGAAACCACGAGGATTTCCCAACCACAGCAGGAAATCTACAACTGCATGGCTGAACAAGAAAAGAATCAAGGTGCTGCAGTGGCCTGGCCAAACTCTAGACCTCAACTTGATTGTGATGCTGTGGTGGGACCTTAAGAGAGTTGTGCATAAGCAAATGCCCAAACCTCAGTGAACTGAAGTTACG